TTTGAAATTTTCTGATCGCGTAACGTTACACTAAATCGTGGTTCATTATTGGCTTGATTTTGTCGATCATCACGTGACAGTAAAATTACATAGTAAATTGTCTGGCGATCCTGGGGTAGTTAGCATCGCAGAGATAAATCATGTGACTATCGGCCAATCAAATTATAGAATTTTGATGAAGAAAGAAAAAATAAAATACAAAAAACGGCAGTCAAAACCTGCCTTGGGTACAATGTTGGGAAGGCAATTTTACATATATATAACTACCTAAAACCTAACATAACCCCCTAACCTGAGATGATCCTAACCCTAAAGTTAATTCAAAAATACTAATTATATAACGTATTTCCGCTTTAGACGTGGCGGTGGGCATATCCACCTGTGGACCAAATTAGATAATTATAAATTATCAGTAATTATCCAAATTTGGCGAGGGTCCTGCTTGGCATCTCCTTTGAAATAAAACGTTCTTTTATTTTTCATTTGTGAAATGTTGCATTCTTTAAAACCATATAAATACAACGACCAATTATCTTATAACGGTATATTACCGAACACAGCACCCTCGTGACAAATAAACATAGATCAATTTTAAAGTGCTATTTATATACGCAGAAGATGCATAACGCACGTGATTTTATCCCTTAATTATGCGTCACACGGAGTACTGTATGCAATAAATACGCACTTGTCTTTGGTTCAAAGAAGGTTTCTGTTTAGAAAACCGTTTAGAATACCGTGCATAAATTGTAATTTCTGATGCATTTATTTATAGAGGGTTGACCATACTTTAATCTTTTGATCATTTTAAACCTTTCCTCCTACCCTCCTACGACCAACTGGTACTGGTCATTACTATTCTTTCTTTAAATCTTTCTCCTATTTCCAGAAGCTATAACTATGGCTTACTCCCTACTATACCGTCCGTCATACCAGAAACAAACCTACCCAAGTTGTACATTTCGAAGAATAGCTAGAAATATCTTTGCCTGTTTGTTACTAGCGTTTTTAATCGCGATACTACTTAGTCACTTAAATAGATACCATATCAGTTCTACTTCCTTACATATACAGGAATTCAACAAACATAAAACGCATACCGGTAATATTAGCAATATCGTAGTTGTCATTGATGGTGATCAACAGGCAAACAGTTTACAGCCTATTTATTGTAAACTGTCTAAAAGGGCAGAAAATGTATACACTCACATAATTGTTACTGGCAAAGGTCGTGGAATAAGCGGTGCAAAATTAATAAGGCTCAATACCTTATTCCCAAATTGTGACGTGTCCGTATACGATCTAGGTATTTCCGTCAACGAAAATATCTTACCGTTGGTATTTCAAGGAGTAAGTCGTGTGTTAGATCAACTTCGGCCAGATGTTTTGATTTATATAAAAGATCCTGAAAACGAAGCGATGCGTGGCGTTAATGCCGCATTTGTTGCCGCTTCTCGAACAAACAGTATTACAAAGATTGCTGTACCTATTGAGCATACGAAACACTTAATGTGGATAACTGATTTATCCATCGAGGCACTTAAAAGTTTGTGTTACTATTATTGTCACTTTTTATCTTCAATTTCTTGGTTTATTCTTTGTTAATTTTTATTATATTTTATCTTTTATATCACAGGTTGGAACACACCAAACATTCAGATACAAGTAATCACACAAAATCGTCCTAAATCCCTAGAACGCCTCATGCAATCTCTCAATTCATCTATTTATTTTGGCGATGATGTATATCTCACTATAAATGTGGATCGAAAAGCAGATCCTGTCACCATTAAATTTTGTCAAACATTTAAATGGCCTTTTGGTTATAAGAGCGTTCGACATCGCATAGTACAAGGTGGTTTGATAGCTGCCGTGGTGGAGTCATATTATCCTACCACCAATGATGAATATGCAGTAATGTTAGAAGATGATATTGAGATTTCTCCATTTTTCTACATGTGGTCAAAGTACACAATCTTAAAATATAAATATGGAGCTGATCGGAGTTTATCCGGTAGAATGTTTGGAGTCAGTCTTTACGATACAAAATTAAATGAAAATCATGCGACTGGTCGTAGACCATTTAATCCTGCTCAGGTTTTGAAAGACACAAAATATCCAGACCAATCTCCATATCTTAGTCAAAATCCTTGTAGTTGGGGTGCCTTATTTTTCCCTGAAATATGGCGCGAATTCCATACTTATCAAAATGCTAGATTAGGTAGTCATAAACGAAATAAGATAGTTGTTCCAAATAGTAGATCAAATAATTGGGGCGCTTCCTGGAAACGTTATCTTATAGAGCTTGCGTATCTTCGTGGCTACGTAATGCTCTATCCTAATTATAAAGATTCTATCAGCTTTTCCACTAATCATGCTGAGAAAGGTGTTCATTTTCGTCTCTCAGGAGAGAAAAAAAGATTATGGCTCCTTCCACTTATGAAAGAGGATATTTTACTAGAAGGACTACCTGATGGTCATTTACCAAGCTACAATGATTTACCAGTTATGGATCTTTTTGGAAGAGTTGTGTCAACAGAAGAAATAATTCGACGCGGACGTAAATTTCACTTGAAAATTTCGAAGTGTCCTCCCAATGATGGAGAACTCACATATGACCCCCAAGACATATTATGTGAGAATCAGGATAGCATAATAGAAAAAAATGAACCAATAACCGAGAAGAAAAGTTCTGCTGAAGAGCTAATAATTAAAGAAAATGCGGAAAATAATTTAATATAACATCTATTTATAACAAAGGCCTCGTTATTAAAAGATCTTAAAAAAATTTTATGGTGCAAAAGGATATAGAGCCTTCTTATAATAACAAAAGAAAAGTGCTATAATAAATATAAAACTTAAAAAACATTAATTGTGACTTTTTAGTATATAGTTAAATAGAAAGAATTTAATTGACAACCCAATTATGATTTGAATTATGTCGATTAAAATACAGTCGCAATTTATAATATATATCACAAGCTTAACAGGTTTTTTAAAAATAAATAGTTTTATATATAATATAATTTGTATAAATTTTTTTAAAAACAATCTGCGTTACACATTTTAATAAAACTTTATTATATACGAATATTGGATTTCAGATTTTAAAGATCTTCGGAAAATCAATTTTTGTTATAAATCTAAACTTTAAAGAGCTATATCGCAAAATTTTATTAATAAAACTACTTTTGTGTCTTAAATGAAAAATGAACTTAATCTTATTCTAAATTAAGGCCGGACCAACATTTAACATAATCCCCCCCCCCCTACTTTTCAAAATTTTATGAAAAAATACACATCACATTAACCAATCAAATGGTAGTATTAGCTTTTGTATATTTCATATTTTTTACAGCCAATAGAATTGCCGTATTTTTTTTAATTTGTGTATTTTTTATACTCTCCCCCCCACTCCTATAAACTATTTAATGTTATGTTAAACGAAGAATCAATTTGGAGTGGCCTAATTTATGCAAAAAAAACATCTTTTAAAAAATTGTCAATTTCGTCCCTTTTCTTAGCACCTAACCCATATGTAGTTTTTTACTATTGTAAAAAAAAACGATTTAAGATTAAATATATCAAAATGCTTAAATCAAACCTGTTCAAGTTATAAACTTTATTTCAAATTTGTTTTTTTAAATATTATTTAAAACAAAATTGCTTTTAAGTAATATAATTAAATGGTTTTAAATTAATTTTTAAATTATTGCAGATAAAAATAAAATTATTCAATATATTTTAATATAGTAATAAAAAAATAAATAATATATATTTGTTTATAGCTATTAGATAATAATTATAAAA